TAATAATAATAATAATAATAATAATAATAATAATAATAATAATAATAATAATAATAATAATAATAATAATAATAATAATAATAATAATAATAATAATAATAATAATAATAATAATAATAATAATAATAATAATAATAATAATAATAATAATAATAATAATAATAATAATAATAACAATAATAATAATATGGATTATTACCTTTTAAAATTGGCCATTTGGGCAGCAACAGATCAATTGATAATATAAAATTGATCAGTTGTACTCAATGTTACATTTAAATTCAAAAATCCTTTAGACGATTTCTTCAAGTCTTACAAACTTGTTTGGTCAAGTATTGATTTTTTATCGGAATTGCAGATTAAATCCAACAGAATGAATCAGTCTCTTTTATAATTTATGTGTCAATAACTGTGGTGCATCATTAATTTGACAGTTTTGTGGTGTAGAACAAGAGATTAAATTTCAAAAATATTACGAATAAGTTTAGCAATTTTGAAGAACCACTTCAAATTTAGGTGAAGTTGCCAAATTTAGCAAAACTTTGTTAAAGTCTTTAACAAAGAGAAAAAGCACTGTTCTGTGCATCCTAATTTCTTTACTTAAACAATCATCAAAAAATTAAAAAATCGTTTTGTTTTTTTTTATCAACTGATAGCCTAATTCATTAAGATTATAGCAACGGGTAAATCTCATCGCTACTGAACATAGAATGCTTGAAGTTCAGAAATTTTTTAAAATTATGGGAAACTTACTCTATCGTTAATTTCATCGAATGTCTAGATTTGTCATATTTGTAACTTGAAATCAAGTACATTTAACTAGCTATTGGATAATATCAAGTATATTAGAAAATTTTGCAACTACCAAATTTAGTCACAGTAAAATTCAATCCTTCAGTGTGCTTATTAAGCACATTTTAACTTTTCAATAATTTAATCCGAATATATTCAATTGAATAAAGAAAAAAACTTAATGTAAATCTTTGAGCAGAAATAAGTTTTTGATGGGAAATATTTCACCATAATATTCATTTATTACAAATGTCAAGTACATTAAATGCTTTGAAAATACCAAAGCTGTTGAATGAATTTCAAGTGAATAGATAAATAAATGGTTGTAGGTTGTACAGAAAAGGAAGTTGGTGATGTGAAACTGGAATGAATATATATCCTATCGAATACTGGTTTTATTAAATGATCATTAGAGGAAGGAATGCTCTATCCTTCCCCTTTCAAACAATATGCTTTGTAGCTTCTTCACTGAATTAATCATGTAAAAAAAAATGAAATATTTAATTAAAATTGATTAGAAAAATTGAAGTTTTCACGAAGAGAACCTATGAAGGAGGACGTATTCCGGTATAATTTCAGGTGTAATTTCACGAATGATAGATGATCTAAAGCTCTTTCATACTCTCTCTTTAGCAATTAAATAAAAAGAAAAGATTAAATGAAATAAAAAAAAAGAAATAGAACGTTGTGCAAGAAAGGTATATTCTGAATATGATATGATGGTATTAATATGGGATTTAGTATTGACAAACAAGGATATTCATTATTACCTGGAAGGTTACGAAGGTTGTAAACTAATATGTAGAAAATGCGTAATGTAGCAAGCAATAAAAATACTGCTTGTTATGGAAATTTAATATATTTGGGAAGAAAAATTGAATTGCACCAAAATTTGGATTCATGAGAAATTTTAAGAAACTGAAGTAGTAGCTAATATAACCCATGGAAGTTATTTCTGTACACAATTATTCTTAATTATACTAAAAGATATTATTAATATATCACATTATATCATTAATTGTATCCATGCATATAGTAATAGCATCTTTTTGACATTTTCCGGATATTCCCTGACATTTCATCAAATGAAATTTCAATTGATAATAATACTTTCATTAGACCCTTGTCCTATTCCTAATTCACATTTCTTCTTTAGTAATTTTAAATAAAAGGTCATGGACAATCGAAAGATGAAAAGTTGATTTCTTACTTGTGGAATTATCCAAATTATAATTTTGAATTTCTCCCAGTGGTAAAAGATCAGTGCTAATTTAAAGTCTTATTTTAATACGCACTAATACATGGTGTGAAATAAAACTATTAAATAGAAGGAACTGAAATATTTGACAGATACTAATACTAGTTAAGTGAAAATAGTACCACTCAAAATAGGCTTTTCAAATAGTTAAAGAACTGTAGAAAGAAAAGAAGAATAAGATGTAAATGATAACAAATAAAATGTTTGCTGAATGTATGCTTAAACATTCCGTTCGAACCGGACGAAACAACCGGACATCTTCCTGAAACAAAGTTAACTCTTCGTTTACAACATACTTTAAAGTAAGAAATAGTAATACATTGTGTGCACATGTTTTAGAGATTTAACTTCATCCATCTGGGGGATTTGGGAAAAAAAAGCTTGAAAGGACATTTTAGAAACCATTTTGAATGGCTAATTGCTATTTGATGAATTAGCTGAAATGTTATTCTGGCTTCTATGAAATATGTTAATGAACAGTATTGATTGCTTAAAATTCCTTTCTGCAAATTTCAGTATTTCCAGCTAAGTAACAAAGAGTAATAGTAAAGTTCATTTATAATAAAATTTATTTTGTGATGATTATTTTCGTATTTCAGTAATACAATTTGATTCAGTACGTGTTATCAATAATGGTTTCAGAAAGTCAAATGAAAATTGCACAGAGAAAGAATTTAGTCTATGTTTAGCAAATGAAATTAATACAATAGTTATAGAGAAAAATTGAGTGAAAAATAACACAATGAAAAAAAAAAAAGAAATACTATCTGAAATGAAAAATTACAAGTAGAGGAGAGGAAGGGAAAAGTTGAAAGATTAGAGGTCGAAAGTGACGAAGATTATCTATTTTTAGTATTTAACTGAAGCGGGACAGTACGCATCACTTTTCTCATGAATCATTTAATTGGAAAGTGAAAACTGACTTTGTTTCATTTTGGACATTACTCGTCTGAAAACAATCACTAATGCATTCAATTTATAAATTTAAAGAAAAAAAAAAAGCCAAGCAATTGAATTTTCATGGTAAAATGTTGAAAGAAAAGATACAAGTTTTGTTAGTGAATTTGATGAATGCTGCAACTAAGATCTTTTCATTTATTCTTTTTTTTTTTAAAAAAGTCGCTCAAACACTAATATTCTTTTAATTTTTAGCAAAAAATATATTCGATAATTGTAATATTTCGATTTTCGCAGCATTTATAACTTAATATCACTATGAGAAACATAAATAATAAAACTTTCGCTCTACTTATTTTATGTAAAAATTTATTATAAAAGTCTGTGAAAATAACACATAAAAATGATTTGTAAATGAAATTATTTGACCTTTGATAACTCCCAAGTAAGGCAATTTAATTTCACTGAATATTTTACAAAAACTTGAAATCACACGGGTAGAGTGATGAAATTTATAAATTTTTAGAAAATATTTAAATTAATGTGTTACGATTGAAGGTGCAGGAGCAGCAATATGAAAAGAAAAATTTTTCATTCTAAATTAGAATTTCGAAATTTAATACGGTTAAAAAATTCTAATGCAGACAATAATATTGATAAATATTATCAATTTCAAAGTGCGCTACGGAAACTTTTTTTTTTTTAAAAAATGTAGAGTTTTAAAGTTCTCTTTTGATTTAAAATAAAAATCTTTCTCGGGGAAAATATCGCAGGAAAAAAATTATTCCATAAGATTAAAAAGTTTTCTTCAGCTGTACCGCAGAATACATGAGCAAACCCATGCATGTGCAACAAGATAATCTAAAATCTCTAGTTAACCTGCACTGAATTCGTCATCACCCTTATTCTTCCTTCCAATCATGACTGGTTTCCACATAAGCAAGAATTGATGCAAGCAAAGATTATTGTATTGAAAGAAATGACCATCGATCAAAATTCAACCATACATTATTATTGTCAATCCTTCCCATCCTAAGCTACTGGGAAAAGTAACCTGTTTCAGTTCCTCAGATGAATTTACGAATTTTTTAAATGATGAGAAAGGGAGACAATAAAGTAATATTCAGTTTTAATGATACCCACATTTCAGTCTAATATTTATATTTAATTTTGATAATATTACAAAGTAATATTAATATTTACATTTTGTGAACCGAAATGTATTCTGAACGAGAAATTTGTATGAATAGGTAGACAAAAAAAAAAAAAAAAAGGAAAAGAGAAATGAAAACATTACGGTATTAGGACAATAGTAAACAGTTCAAATTGATTTTGGATGATAAGAGTTAAATCTAAAATTTAATTATACAGCATACATTACATTATACAATCATGAAATTCAGATCATTCAATCAACTTCACAGAACAATTATTCTGTAGTAGGATCATTGCTATTCATGTATGACATCCAATGGCTGTGATCGATTATATTCGTATTATTTTGAGGCTTTTAACTAAGGTTTGTGAAATGAACTTTCAAAACCTTATGTTAAATTTCAAAAACCATAAGTTCAATTAACTAAAACATCTGTTTCAAGCTAAACTGTATTATATGTCCCATGAAAGTCTATCAAAGATTGCCAAAATATCAACCAGGAGAAAGTCAATAATGTTTGAAACCCTTAATTCACGTACTGTTTAGCTATCAGAATTAATTTTGAAATTAATCATTTCTTGCTTCATATAAATGCCTTTGTTAGTTCACTAATTCACAGCAGTCAACGGGTTAATATTCCACAAAAGCGGTCAATATGTACAAAACTTTTTATGAAATTTTTACTATAAAAATGACTTTATTAATCCAACCTCAAAATTTATAACCCATCCCAATTAATTGGCGAAAAAGAAATTAATTTATCAATTGAACAGCAAATATTAGGGCGAATAAATATTGGTCTGACGTGTAATAAAAAGTAATGAGTAAATGGCTCGTCATTATCTCTTCATTGTCAAGCTGATTTTCTTTTTTTTTTTTTTTTTAAATTAATCAGTCTTTCACGATATTCTTTGAATGATATGATACTTTAGAAAAATCATCATTTGTGTTGATTTCTTACAGTCTCATTGGAAATGCCATCGAAAGATAAGTCAATTCTTTATTAATTTAATTGATTTATTTATTGTATTATTTAAATAAGTCCTGAAATATCACATATTTTCTCGCTATCAAAAAATTATTGTCAACGATATCAGTTATCAGAACGAATGAAAACATACTCCCAAGCAACGTAGCAAGGCTTGAAATTATTTTCAGTTTGCTTAGAAAAATTGCGCAAAAGTTTGTTCAATATGTGAGGGAATATATTTTGCAAAACATTATTTTCCAATCAGAAGTTAAGAAAATTGTCTCAAATTTTGAAACTAATCGGTAATTTTTCTAATTTTATTTTATTCGGCAAATAAAATTTTTAAGAGGAAATTATTTTCAGCAATAATATTAAGTATTATCGTTAATGCTAAGTATTAGTATATTCTAAACAGATATGAAGTTTTGAAATTAAGCAAGAATTTGAAGTAAAAAACTTTTTCTTCTTCCTTTCTTTGAAATGAAAATATACTACTGGTTACGCTTTTACCATTGATACGACAACGAGAAAAATTATTTAAGAAAAAAGATGTAACCGATGATAGTTACGAAATTTTGTTGGCACCCATTGATGTATAAAAAGGCGAATAAATGATGACAATCGGCTGATTCATTGATCAATGAACTAGTGCAAAAATTCATATAGAAGCGGATCACATTTTTTTTTTGCCAATCGAAAGACTGATGAGTTTTTGTCATCCGGAGTATGGGCGGGGTTGTATGATATGAGTGGACAATTTCTATAATATGTTAAGTTGTCCGAATAATTCGGCAGATCTTCAAGGTGAAAAAATCTCTCTTTAAGCAAATAAATATTGATGAGAGGATCATTCCGAAGCAATGCATTACAGCGTTTCAGTGATTGCATGCAAATGCAAAAAAAAGATGGAATCAATGGAACCGGAATAGGCAAACAAAATTTGAAAAAAAAAAAAGCTGAAAATATCATGAATGGATCCGTTCAAATATATTTGTCTTAGGTATTCCACAAGTATGGATGTATGGACTTACTTATTAGTATGATATATAAAAATGGGACATTTCTCTACATTTTTTGGTTGTCACTTAGAGACATTCAGAAATTCACGAATTAATAAATTAAGATAAGTTACACTTTGAAAGCTTAAGAAAAGGAACTTAAACTCTAATTCACTTTTGTTGAATAATGAAAGAGTTGGATAAGTAAAAATTGACAACATTTCATTCTTGACTATTTTGTTTCTTATTCCTCAAGCAGAATTAAATATCTGCTTTTTAGACTCATATTGGATTATGAAGTGTCCACTTCTTTTCATCAATTAATCTTGCCATGTATTTTATTATTACATGCTGATTTCAAGTGTTGTTCGGTTGATAGAATAATGAGAAACTGGAAGTAGAATGCGAATCATTGATATAATATTAAATATAAGTTGGAAAGGAAAAAATTAAAATCTTCATTTTCTGTAGATTTTTTAAAAATTAAGCTTAGATAATGCAGGGATAGATTCGTTGTATCATGCTTAAGTAGCCTATAATTATGAATCCTATAGTAGTCTTACTAAAAATTATACCCAAATATAAATTGAATTTTAACAAGAATCAGCAAGAAATTTCAGCTTAGATAGACCATCATTATCCAAATTAAGATTAATTGCGATAGATAACTAGAATACTTGAAACGAAGGTCATTGCAGTTACCAGAGGAGACGTACTTCCAGTAAACAATCAGGATTCATTCATTATAAAACACAATAATGAAGCTACATTAGGATAAAGTGCTTTTTGGTGGAAAATGGAAATTAGATAAAATAGAATAAGATATGACTCATCTTATATCATTTATAAGAAATGTAATTTATTAATTTTGCAATTGTTGTCGTTTGTATGAAGCAAACTTAATATAATTTATATCGCAACCTTTGGTGCTTAATGCTATCCTTTCTTAACTTTTTTGAATAATTTATAAATGATAGCTTAGTTCATCTTAATGATTAATAAATATTTCGGTATTGATCATAATCTAAGTACTCTGTGACGCTGTATCTGTCCCTCTCAATGCTTTTAGTGTTTCCTCTCATTCAATAAATGATTTATCAAAATGAATGAAAGGAAGAGGATTTCTGAGTGCTCTAAACATAGCTGATTAAGGTTGAAAAAGTTCGTCATTTCTAGAAAAAGCAAAAAAGCAGTTTAGAATTGTCATGCTTCATCAAAGAGCATGAAGAGAATGAAAATATGATTGAAAGCGCGCTGTTGGTATTCTAGAACATTTGCGCATTATAGTATATTCCAATAACAATAGTAATTGAAGGAAAAGCCAAAAATAGCAGTTAAATGCATAATTGTGACAGGGACTCACTCTCAAATTATTTTCTAATTACTGGTATATTATGCAGGTATGAACTGTATAATAAGCAAACAAGTATATGCAAAGCTTCCCGTTGTTGTTTTATTTTGCAGATTATAGAATGTTTGAAATGTCGTATAAACCCTCTTATTATAATACATTTGGATTGCACAATTCGAAAGAGTTGTAAATAATGTATAAATATTTATCATTTTCTTAATCAATGTTGATTAGTTTGCCTTACAAATCGATTTTTACATTTTTAAAATCGGTACTTAATCAATGTATTCATCAAATTTTGAAACATTTAAATCACATAATTCAAAATAATGACCAATATGATAAATTAGTGTAAATTTATTAATGATGCTTCAAGCAAGAATTGATGATATGTTAGTCCTTTCCATATTACTTAATATGGAAATAAAATAATGCATAACTTTAATGAATTACTTTCCGCATCTGTTTGCAGTATATTCTTCGCCGAAGGATGATAATTGGGAATACTTGAAGACCCAAAACACTCTACATTTCAAGCTATCGTAAAATCCTATTTAAAGTAATCAATAGTAGAAGATTGGATGGATCGATGACTTGTGATTCATAATTTCACAAATTAATTTGAAATTTTTCAAATAAAAGAAAAAAATGGAATAGTTTAAAATGATTGTATTTCAGGAAATATTTTTAACATTTTCCGCAACTCAGCGCACAATAATCCTGTACAAAACGTGGATAGGTGATACAAAAATTGTGAGTCCTGAATGTTTGACAATATGGAAAACGATCATTGCAATATTGCATTTTCTGAAGTGCGAAATCTGAAAGAAAAGATCAGTGTATCGTTTAATTTCTTTTTCTATATTTTTAGGTACTAAGTTAATTATTTTCTCATCCTTTAATTTTTAAATGCCATACTTGTAGTGGTTGTAGGAATAGCAACAGTAGCTGTAATAGGTCCTGTTACATTATTCTTTGTTACAGGAAATAGATTCGATAGACTGTTCGCGTTCATATAAGTTGATATAAATGACGAAGGTACTGTTGAAAATGTTGAAAGATTTAAATTAATTTTGAATCCTTTGGCTTCTTTTGTTTTTGTTGTGATATTACTAGTTGATGGTGTGGAAGAAACAGTAAAAGCAGTCCTTATAGTTGTAGGAAATTGTTCTCTGATTGTGCCAGATACTTCCAGTTCCTTACGTTGCTTTCCATTTTCGAGGTTTCCTACACTTGAGGCCGAAGTCATTCCTATTTCTAAAAAGGCAAAATATAGTTTGTTCGATTACTATAGTTTTATTTATCCAAGACTAATATATGATAAATCAAATTCTTGTTATTTGCTAACATTTTAAATTATTTGTGTGACAAAGGAATGCTTGTTGGGCAATGATTAAATTTTAGGAAATGATAATTGAACTAGGACTTACGATTTACGCAGTCGTATAATTTGTTAATTTTCCAAATATCTATAGAAGAAAGACCACGTCGTTGACCAATTCGGGAGACTAAAAAGTTTTTATTTATTTTATATCAAAGAAATTGTCATTGATAAATGGATTTCTAAATTTTTGAATAAAATGGATTTCTGAGGAGGAAAGATGCTATTTCAAGTATTGATTGATTGGTCGGTCTTCCACTGGTCCCCTGATCAATGATTCTCCCTCGTATTCTAACCTTTGCTGATAGATTTGGGAATTATGGTCGGTTTACCATTTTTGCTAAATGCCACTGCGGAATAGTGCGTTACGGAATCATAATCATATGGTGAGTCTAAATCATCAATTATGGTCGCTGAATATTTGTCAAATTGTTCTGCAAACAGAAAGTTTTCACAGGATTAATTACTCAATTAGTTTATGAAATAAGGGAAGAATCCTCATGCTAATTTTACAATATTTTGAATATGACAGTTTCGAAACGAAACAAGCCAATTAACAAAACATACATATTACATGCTTAGGCTTTATGCACCAAATCTCACTTACCAGAAAGAGCCGGCTTTACGTTTTCCCAGAGAATATCCACATATAAATCTCGATCAGCGCGATCTGTCAAAAAATTATTCAATTCACTTGATGCGGTGAAGGCATAAAAGTTCCTCTGGCATAACTGGTCAACAAATAAATGGCAAAAAGAAAAACTTATTATCAAAACTTTTTTTGTGACAAATAAAAACATGGTTAATAATGAAACAATCCTACAAATGAAACAAGCAAAGAATTGATGAAAAACAACTTTTTGAATTGACAAATCGAACGATACGCCAACGGAAGTCAGAAATAGTTTTGTTCAGTGTCGGGCGTAAATTGTTAGATTGTTTGTAGAAACTTACTTTGTTCGTGAAAAAAGCCAATTACATGCATCAATTCATGAATTACTATTCCTTTCTTCAAACATCCATCACCCAAACTTACTGTTTGCCTACCACCTGTAAATAAACTGAAAACAAAAGTTGCTAGAATGTATCATTTGGAATAATTCAATGTTCAAGCAGGAAATCAGGTCATTTTGACACATGTTGAAATTATCACAGGTAATTCGATGAAGAAATGGAACAAATGCTGCAGTGAGTTGACAGGTAGTTTACTGTTGGACAAACTTAGGAGAAGAAAGTTCTCTAAAGTTTTAAGAAATTTTCAAATCATGCGACAGCTTTTGTTGGAAACAATATTGCTATAAAATATGCAAACCATTATTGCCAACCATTGAGTAGCAACCATCATAAGGCGCAATATGGATGTAATCATTATCGAATCGTCTTTTAGGAATAAACCGTATACATGTTAGAAGCCGATATTCTTTAAATGCTTCCAAAATTATAAGTTTGCTGGAAAATGAAAAGTGAGGGCATGACTGAAAGCAGATGGAAAAATAAAATTAGAATAGTGGAAATATTACAGACCTGATATTAGAATATACTGGAGAGATGACGTATGGTACTCGTCCATTCGGCCATAACAATGTTCTCTGCCTTACCGCATTGTAATATATTGCATTCATCTCAATTTGAGGAATGGAAGAGTTGTTCCGATTTATACAGTCAGTACCATGCCAAGTCATTGATACACCACGGTTGAATACGGTAGCTTCATTACTGACAAGAACTATAAAAACAATTGTTGAGATATGTTATAGACCGATGCTTATTCACACTGACAATATGAAAGTCTGCAAACCAACCAATATCGCCTTCAAAGAGATCTTCACGATACATGGCTTCTGAACTGACATTGTCATATTCAGTATCGTGGTCTTGTTCACTGTCGTCGTTTTCTTTTTCCGGTAACATCAATTCTCTGTTTTCAATCTGAATTACTCCTGGCGTAGATGTTCTGTTTAATTTCCCCTAAACAGTTTTGTAAGTTTATATAATTAAGCTGAATGGCAACAGATGACTAATTTTGATGTGTTCTTCTCTCATTGTTTATTTTTGTGTTCCTGTCTGATTGCTAATTTCATTTATGAAAAATAGAAAGACATTGAGGGATTAACTTTATAAATATCTGCAACATTTCAGTTAGACTGTAAAAAAGAAATGACATCCGATAAGATGTTATTAGCAAACAAATGAAGGTGAAAGAAAATGAAAGTGACATAGTTTCTTTTAGTGACATTTTGAAATTGTCATTATACTGTGAACATTATTTATTATTACTTAGGCATTTAATTTAGATAATTTCCCATTTCATAAGGTCACATTAACATATTTGCTGTCTCATTTTTCTTAATGTCCATGTTAAAAAATTCTTAACTTAAAAATTGTCTTCCAGGTTTCTTACTTCATAAATCATCTCTACAAGCTGTGAAATTTTTATTTCGAATAGATAATGATAGATTAGAGGATTATGTTACGATCAATTAAAAACTAAACTGGTTATTATCGATGACTTATGGGATATTGGAGATGTCCGTATGTTCATATTTGAATAATTTTTAGTTAATAGTTGTTTCCTTTTAAAACATGAATCAATTCCTTTATTTCAATACATAAAATATTCCTAACTTCGCATTATTAGATAAAGCTTAAATAATTTTCCTTGAAATCCTGAATTGGAGTTCCAGTCGAATTTAATGGAGAAGACAACTTAAATTTAAGTTTTAATATTCCCAATCATTTTCAATTCCAATTAGTAAACAGTATTCAAACCTGAACATTAGTAGCAGTAAGCGTCTTGGCGTTAAGTTCGGTGAAATAAGAACGAAACCCGCCCGTCAACAAAATGATAAATGAGGCTATTGTTATCATTTTGACAGATAACGGACAGGAGGGCTTCATAAATTGTTGTTCTGGATATTTCTTCTTTTTCAAATAATTTCAGTAAATGTGCAAAAATGTTGTTAGACAGGTAGGATGAAAAATTAAGCTGAATGGATAAGCTGCGGGCAAGAAGAAGGTCAAAGGGCAATGTGCGGTATTGCAAAAGGAAACAGTTATTGGACGAATTTCAATTGTTGATAATCTGAAAGAAGGTTAGGAATCCCATAAAAATCAAACATAAGCAGATAAATTAATTTGATCTGAACCAACCGAACAGTTCAATGTTACTTCTTTAATTTGGAAGCCAAATGCGGAGAAGAAAGAAGAATAATACAGGAAAGAGACAAAATGACAAACAAGAAATGGTTTCCAATGTTGCCGATGCAGATGACAATTACAGCAAAATAAGATTTCATATGAACTGAAAAATTGCATGGTAAACAAAAACAATTCATGCAAACAATATTATGCAAATAAGGAATGATTCAGTGATTAACCATTTATCCATGCCTTTTTGAATTCAGGCAAACACGTGAACGTAATCAGTTTCAGTTGTTTGCTTACCATAAACATATCATGACGAAATAAGAGCTTATAACGGTAGATGATTGGGACATCCTTTGTATTAAGTGCTCGACTAGTACCGTATTTGATACTGTAAACTAGCAACAAAGCTTTGAAATAATGATCGAGCTGTGAGATAATATCATGGAGAGAATTACTGTGTGTTACCAAGTTATTCCATGATTTACTGCTTCTCATCAAAACTAACAAAAATTCTTTTTTACCGATATTGTTTATGTTTCATACAATTATAAGCTGTACTTTGGCTAATTTGAATTATTTACTGTGCACTCTTTGCCAAGAATTAAAAACGATATGCAAAGTTGGGAACTTTGCACATAAGGGAACTGTTGCTGAACCTTTGATTCTTTGATTACTTTATAATTTCCCATATTTTAAGTTCTATTGAAGGAGAGTACAGGATAAATTTTATAACGTTTGGAAAGATAGATGAGAAATGTTGCGGAGTTAATCAGCAAATGTTGCATTTGATGAGGAGTGGATTCGATCAGAAAATTAAAGAAAAAATTTTGTTCTTCATAAATATTAAGCAATACAAAAGGACTGTTTCTTCTCGATAACTTTCGAGTAACGAGTACTGAGTTAGGTTATGAGCGACATTGGAAGGTATATAAAATTATCGGAACTTTCTCATCTTTAAGATTTCAAGAATTGAGAGAAATGCTTTTGACATCATTGGAAAGTTCTACTAGTTCATGGTAAAAATGTTATTCAGGTTTTCTATTGAGCACTTACCCATTGAAATTATGTTTGATTGGAAAACAGATCTGTTCAAGAAAGATATTTTTATCCATTGTGCTGCAACCTGAACCAAATGCTGCTTCCTCTTACCGCACTGAGCAGCTGCCTCACTTCTAAATGTTTTTTCTTTTTTCAAAATGTATCTAATATTTTTAGCAATGTTTATGTTTGGTTGAACAAGTGCGTCTACCATAATTACAAATATTGTGCAATGAGCTAGTAGAGGTGACATCTCATAAGATGTGGATATAAACTTACTTTCATAAATATATATTATTAAGCTTCTGTCAACGATACACTACCTGATAAATTTTAAATTTTCAAAGAAGAGAATGGAGTGAAAGAGAAGAAAGGGAACAGATATGTCTTTCTTCTATCAGTTTCTTTTCTCTCTTTGGCAGAACTCAGAGATAAATAGATAGTCCAGGACTGGCATTCATCCCTATCTAGTCCCTCATCTGCTGTTGTTGTTATTGCTGGATAGCTTGCGATGGCATCGTCACCGCCCGGCGGAGGATGCTTTTGGACCTTACGAAGCATCGTTTTCCTTCTCAATTTATTTTTTTGGGTAAGTGCACCTTCTGACTTCATTTCTTCCTCTATCCCTCTTTTACTTTACTTATCTTTAACTTTTATTATAGAACTCTATCAAATTTATCAAATCATTAAATCTCTATCAAAAATTGAAAATGGAATGAAGAAGTGAAGGTACTTCTTTGCAGCCAAGTCTTGGAAGTATACTTTAGCTAGAGTAGAACTATTACTTGTCTGCTTTATCCTAAAATTTCCTCTGGAGATAAGGATTCGGCTCAAAGCAGGTAAGTAACATGACGATATTACGCTATTGCTTAATTTTTTTTTTTTCGTCATTATCGATGATTAATTTGTTGATCGTATAGTTTGTTTGAACTTTTTCCTAAACACTTTCAACTTTACCACTAATTGCCAAAATAATTTCTGCATACTACAGTTTTAAAATTATACATTTTAAACCGTAAAAGTTCTTGTAACGCTGTATCTTTTATATCTTGCAGTTCTTTCAAGTGTCATCATTTGTAATCTTACATTCAACAAGTAAATTAATTATTTATTTAAAGGAATTCTTTCTCAACAGAATCTGAGACGTTTGAAAATGTATAAAATATGAATGAAATGAAAATGACTTAAGTGAATCAAAACAATTTTTCAAATGACACAGTATTGACTGAATGACAATTTGGCACTAATTGACTATTTTATTCTTTAGCAGACCCATATGGAAATTTGTGGAAAAGTTTTCCGTAGAACTATTTTAATGAAAACTCATAATTAATAGAGCCTTTTGAAGCCTAGTTCTATTGGAATTTTACAGTTTAGTCTCATTATGATTTCAGCTTTCGGGATTATTTGTATTGGTATTGGGCCTGTGGCTTTTACTGGATCGTTCGGTTAATGATGTCCTTACTGCAAATAGTCCTTCTCAAACAAGTGACCATTTCCCATTGATATGTTATCTGCTAATTGGCACTGGGACATTGATGGCGCTGATTGGAGGATTGGGCTGTTGTGGTGCGTGGCGTCTCAATCAAGGAATGCTAACCGGTGTAAGCTGATTGATTTTACCTATTTTGCTTGGGATAAAACTTATCTTAAAAAATAATTAATGACCATCCGGATTTTTAAACCTTCATAAATTTAAGGAAGTACTATGCGAGAGAAAAGTAAGAAGACATGTTTTTAAGCTTGTCATCATAATGAAAAAATTTGTTCAAAAACGAAATTTAAATTTGCTGAACTCTCAAAAGTTAAAAAACTTTTTGGAACATTTTTAAATGAATTCCTTTTGTGATCGCATCCCGCCCTACCTTATAAGAGCGCAATATTTCTTCGTCTTTAAGGCTACCTTCTCTCACACCTACCCACTTATCCATTTGGGAACGAAGAGTCGATTGTCCTCAGATGACGAATAATTTACTCCTGCAGTGATGCGTTCTGTCTATTCGGCAAATTAAAAACTAATGTGTTCTAAATTTTTATTTGAACTGACTTTATCATCATTCAGTTCTCTTGATGATCTCCTAATATTAATGCGACAAGTGATTTCCTTAGCCCATTTCAGAGTTGTAGTTGATAGCGAACTTATCAGATCTTTTACTTGAAACGATTGTCAAATTGACTAGCGAAATTTATTTATTTATCTTATAATTTTTAAGAACCATTCAAATCTGCTTAGTGATGACATTTTCGTGATTTGCTTCGAGGAATGAAATCGAGCAAAAATTTGTATCATTATTATCCCTTATCTCTTCCTTCAAATTTGTGATATCATAAGGAAATGCCTTGCAGTTCTTCATCATCCTTTTGTTGGTGTTTTGTTTACAACTGGCCGCTGCAATACTGGCTTACAGTCAACAGGAGTTTATCAGACGCTACATCGATCAGTCAATGTATCGCATTGTGCAGGAACTTTACGCTACCCAGCCATCTTATAAGGAATTGTTTGATAATATACAGAGTGAAGTAAGTATGTGTTTTTAATTCCTTACTTAATTAATTGTATAATGCTACCAGAATTATCGTTTTCTCTTTGAGATCAGTATGGCATTGCAGGAAGAAACTCCCCGTCATGATATTAGTACAAACATTCCAATGCATCCAGTCTTCTTTTTATTGTTCTAAAAAGATCTGGTAATTAGCGACACCCCAAAATTTCAACTTTTTGAGTCAAAATGTTGAGAGGAAGTTATATCTTCAACAATTGTGATTAAATTCCAATTGAGTTTTTGTGTCACTATGCAAGACCACAATAAATAAATAAACAAATATTCTATATATATATATATATATATATATATATATATATATATATATATATATATATATATATATATATATAT